ATGTAGATGACATGGTCGTGAAGACCCAATTTTCAAAATTTTTTGTTAGACGATTTGCAAAGTGTTTTCGAAATTTTACGAAAGTATAATATGAAATTGAATCCCAACAAGTGTGTCTTCGGGGTCACCTCAGAGTAAATTTTGGGCTACATAGTCAACCAACGTGGCATCGAAGCCAACCCAGAAAAAATAAAGGCCATCTTAGATATGAGACCACCCCGCAAACTAAAAGAGGTTCAAAGGCTAAATGGTCGGATAGCTGCTTTGAGCCGTTTTATGTCCACATCAGCAGATCACTGCCTACCTTTCTTTGAAGCTATAAAAAAGAGTAAAGACTTCGAGTGGACCGCAGAGTGTCAACTCGTCTTCGACGAGCTAAAAAGATACTTAGCTAGTACCCCGGTTCTGACTCGACTTGAGGAAGGGGATATTTTAAAGTTGTACCTCTTCGCGAGTGACGAGGTGGTTAGCTCGGTACTGATAAAAAAGGTAGATCGGGTCCAACGACCCATCTACTATGTTAGCAAAGTTTTGTAGGATGCTAAAACGAGATACCCGGAGATCGATAAATTGGCGTACGCGCTAGTCATAGCTGCTCGCAAGCTACGTCTGTACTTCCAAGCCCACACATCGTCGTCCTCACCAACAAGCCTCTGAGACAGATCCTGCTCAAGCTCGAGGTGTCTGGCAGATTGACGAAGTGGGCTATCGGCGAGTACGACATCCAGTATGAACCTCGGACGGCAATTAAAGCCCAAGCCTTGGCCGATTTTGTAGCAGAATGTATGTTCAGTACCGCAACTCCCGAGTTGGCCGAGCTCGAGCACACGATGGAAGGTTCAACCAGTGCGACACCAATCCCGGTTAGAACTGGTCCGACCTAGGACGAGGAGCCTTGGATCCACCACGTTGATGGCTCGTCCAACCAACAAGGAAGCGGTGCGGGAATAATTCTATATGGTCCAAGCGGGGTGAAACTGGAATATGCACTCCGGTTTGGGTTCCCAACATCGAACAACGAAGCAGAGTACGAAACATTGGTTACCGGGCTCACTCTAGCAAAGGAAGTGAAAGCTAAGCACCTCGTCATATGCAGCGACTCTCAGCTCGTGGTTAACCAAGTCAGCGGCGAGTACGATGCCCGTGACCCCACCATGGCTGCTTATTTGGCCAAAGTCAGGGAGGTTCTGCACGGCTTCATCTCTTACTTCATTAGACAGATCCCGAGATTTGAGAACATTGAGGCTGACGCCTTGTCCCGATTAGTCAGCACAAGCAGCAACCCAATGCGGACTGTGTACATAGAGGATTTACCTCGACATATCATTCTCGGGGGGGCAGGAGAAGTCGCTCCTGTAGCACAAGCAGAGCCAAGCTGGATTGATCCACTCGTGAGTTATCTGCTTCACGGGACCCTCCCTGTAGAACACAATGCGGCCCGAAGGGTAGAGCGCCAGTTGGCTAAGTACGTTATTATAGACGAATAGCTGAACAGGAGATCCTTCACGCTCCCCTACTTGCGCTGTTTGCGACCCTCAAAGGCCGAGTTCGTTCTCCGTGAACCCATGAAGGCTTGTGCGATGGACACTTGGGAGGCAGGGCTCTCGCACAGAAGCGTTATGATAGGGCTACTACTGGCCCACGATGAAGGCAGACGCACTTGAGCTCGTCAAGAAGTGCGATAAGTGTCAGAGGCACACTAACATCCACCACCGACCTGCTGCCGATCTGAAATGCCTCCCTAGCCCATGGCTCTTCGCACAGTGGGGAATCGACATACTTGGCCCATTCCCACCAGCAACAGGATAGAGGAAGTTTCTGGTTGTGGCAGTAGACTATTTCATGAAGTGGGTGGAAGTTGAACCTCTAACAACAATCACAGCTCGCAACGTACAAAACTTCTTTTTGAAGAACATAGTGTGTCGCTTCGGGCTACCTCAAGTACTCATCTCCGACAATGGGAAACAGTTTGAGGATATAAAATTTCAGAATTGGTTTACTGAAATGGGAATTCAGCAAAACTTCACCTCAGTGGCACACCCCCAGGCGAATGGGCAAGCAGAAGTCACCAACAGATCCATACTCCGCGGACTGAAGGCTCGCTTAGCTCGAGCCAAAGGATTGTGGGTAGACGAACTGCCTAGTGTACTCTGGGCCTACCGGACCACCATCAAGACTGCCACAGGTGAGACTCCTTTTAACCTCACTTACGGCACGGAAGCGGTGATCCCGATAGAGATCGAGGTGCCTACACTACGCTTGGAGGCCTACGACGAAGAGACGAATGATGACAAGCTCCGTACTAACCTAGACCTGGTGGAAGAAGTACGAGACTTAGCATACATCCGGATTGCAGCTTATCAACAGAGCCCAGTGTCGGTAAGCTCGGACCGAATTGGGAAGGTTCGTACCGAGTAAGACAGGTATATGGGGAAGGTACGTACGAGCTCGAGACTCTGGAAGGGAAGCAAGTACCTCAAGTGTGGAACATCGGCAACCTAAGAATATACTACTTGTGATCACCGAATTGGAGAGAGGACTGTGAGTCACTCCCAGAAGCTTAAGGGCCATGATGCCGAGATGATATAAGACCTCGGCACTACGATAAGTCCCAGTCGCCTCTTCGGCATGGGTGGAGAAGTCCCAGTCGCCTCTTCGGCATGGGCGGATAAGTCATAATCACCTCTTCGGTATAGGCAGACAAGTCCTAGTCGCCTCTTCGGCATAGAAAAATCAGTTCTCATGCCTAAGGCATAGACAGTTCGGGTACAAACCCTACGACGTCTAGCCCACATCGGCACATAAATACAGGTTGATCCCATTTGAGGTTAGGCCCAACGGCTCGACACTAAGGGATAACTGACACCTAAGCGAGTAGCCTGTGTGCAGACAGGTCGGGTATATACCCTACAATGTCCGCCCACCTTGGCGTACAATATGCGAAGTTACCCCTACTCATAGTCCAACTCATTAGGTCGACAGTTTGGGGTAACCTACCCATTTTTACTCCTATTTGGTTTAGTTCGCTAGTTCGGGAGTTGTTTACACTTAGAAAGCTTTGCACAGAGATAGTCAATATAAACACACACATATATATATATGTGTGTGTGTGTGTGTGTGTGTGTGTGTGTGTTTGTGTGTGTGTGTGTGTTTATATTGCATTTTTGTAATTTTTTATAAAAAGATAAGTATATATTAATATATATATATACTTATATTCGAATCACCATCCATGAAATCTAATTGGATCAAACCAAATCACATCTAACATATGTGTTATCAGATCGGATTAAGATTACCCCAATTCAAATCCAATCCAATCCGTTTGCATTCCTAAGTGCTTGGTATCAATTGTGTTTTTTGGAGAAAGGACACCAACTGGTGGCGGATTTAGGACCTTTGACGAATGGGGGCAGGCATTATAATAACATCAACTTAGTCATAATAGGGTGGGTTTGGGGCAAGGACCATACTTGCCATCCTCAACCTTGTCCTCATAGGGAGAAAGGTTAACCTCCATCACTAATCCCTAATGGAGATGAGTTCTCCATCTCAAACTTTTTAATTAAAAGTTCTTTAGAGAGAGAGAGAGAGAGAGAGAGAGAGAGAGAGAGAAATAGGTTAGGACAAGGCGGGGACTTCACTTCCCATCCCCACCCCCCTCTTTGATCGGGCATCCCTAATTAATCTCCATCTCTACCAAGGTGTAGTCTCGATCCCCAATCCATTTTGTTGGAGAGGTTAGGTACCCAATAGGGAAAGGGAAAATTGCCATCCCTAGGTTTGAGGAGACAAAGTATAGAGATAAGAATGAGTTATTGAGGGATATAAAATAAGGAACAAGCAAAAGGAAGAAAAGGTAGAAAAAGTAAAAGTTAAAACCCTGAGTCCCAAACTCATAACTTGGTTCACAGTAGGGGTGATCACAAAAAACTGAAAAATATTGTATGTATTTCTAGTATTTTTATTATATTTATTTATAATATACTATAAATATAAAAAAACAAAAAAATCAACGAACCAAACTGGTTGGAAACCTAACTGATCAACTAGTTAACCAATGGGCTTCGATTTAGTTTCATTTCCTAGTTTTCCAAAAAATGGTATTACTAGTCCAGTTTGAAAAATAGCCATATGATTTGGTTAACTGAACTGTGTACTTGGTTCATATGGGATAGGGACATGGGTGTCATTCTATTTTTTTTATTTCTTACTTTTTCACCTTTGAAAAAAGGACCCCATTTAAGAAATCAAGTTTTAAATCAGATTTTGTTTCAATTTTCAAGACAAAAATCATACAAAAAGCTTATCAAATAAATGCCATTAATACCAAACATCCTTTATATCTTTGTTCGTAAATAACGATTAAAAAAAAAAAAAAAAAAAAAAACGATATCCATTATATGTGTAAACTAAGGAAATATTGTCTCCTACCCGGTAGGACATGTCTCTGGCAAAATACATTTTACACTTAGGGCTGTGTTTGGTTGCAGTATAATTTTATTTGTATTAGTACAAATGTACGAGAGTACAAATGAAAAAAAAAATTTTAAATTTGGTTTAATTTTGTTTTAGATTTTACTTTATTTTGATTTAGGTCTTTATTTACTTCATTTGTATAGCAACCAAATAAGGTAAAATTTGAAACAAAAATAAATTAAAATTTATACTCAAAACCTTTGCAATGCCATAGTTTTGCATCAGTGCAAATAAATTTGCACTGCAACCAAGCACAGTTTATGCTCCATTTGGAAAGAATACAAATAGAGATATATAAAGTGCAAAACTTTATAGTTTGTATTGCAAAGTACATATTTGTATTTGTACTTTTTCCATACGGTTTAGGGTTGAAAATGTAAAGTTTAGGATTTAGATATAAAAATAAAGAGATCATCAAAACATCCGACCATGATAGGAGCAAACTAAAGCCCGTGTAAACTATTCATTCATGTCACATGTCAAATAGGCAAGTGATTTTGAAGTATCCAATAAGGGGCATTTCATCTACTTAGGGCTAGGGGGCTTCAAAGCCCATTAAATTGGCAACATGGGTAAGGCCATGTTTACATGAATGATAACATGGGCGTCGGGCTGGGCCGGTTCAAATTTTGCAAAACCAAAGGCCGAGCCCAACCCATAAACAAGTGAGCCAAAAGTTCTGATGTAGTCCAAATTCTCGAAATAATCAATCATTTCTACAATTATTTTTGGTAAGTAATCACTTGTACAATTTGCAAGGACATTCACATAATGGAACACGAGTTAGGGTTGTCATCACTGAAGGCCATGTAGAAGCGCTCTTCCATGGAGTTGGCACGTGCCAACGCGGAAGCCTCAGGGTCCTGCAGCACATTCCGCACGTATCCGGGTGGGGCCTTCTTATCGTAGGTCCCAGGTGCGTAGGGGTGTGGGACCACGTCATACCGGACGTAGGGCCAGAACTCGGCCTTCTTCCCCGTTGCCCGTATACGCTGCAACACCTTTCTGGGTTCCACATAACCTATCACCACCACCTTACTCTGTTTGGCCTCTATGTCCACTTCATTCACCCCTGCACCCTCCATTCCATTATTTCAGTTCACAACTCAATCACTCATGAAAATTAATCCAACAATAATCTTTAGTCTTTACCTTTCATTCCTTCCACCGCCTTCTTCACTTTTCTTTCACACCCTTCGCAGTCCATCTTCACCTTTATCTCTACCGTCTTTTCTTTTTTTAGAGGTTTAATGAAAGAACAAGATCAGTACGTCCAGAATTAAAAGAAAAAAGAATGGAACAGAGGAAGGATTGTGAGAGATTTTCCAGGATTCCTACCTGTAACTGCTTGCGCTTCTTGAACTTCTTGGTTCGGAGAGTGCAATCGAAAAGGTCGGAGAGATGATTGAAGACCCCCATTTCGCGACAACCCCTTCAATCTTCTTGTCTGTTATGTCAACCTCCTATGGCTGTAGGACTGAAAACCTCTGACTCTCTTCTCGAACAAAAAAGAAAACAAATATGATGAATGATATGAAGAAGAGCAGAGAGTTGGTCACACGAGTGCGTGTAGTTGTTATTCCATACATGGAAGATCAAACGTAATTTCATCTTCTGGTTTTTGTCATCGTGATACGCTGACCCCTGTATTTTCCTTTCACCCAACCCATGGGTCGTGGGTTTTCTGGCTGAGGATAATAATTTTGCCACGTGTCAGATTCTGAGATTTCAGTCGTTTGTCAGGTTATATTTATGATGTGGAACCCAGGTTCCTAAAGAGACAAAAACGAAGATTTGGCGCGTACTGCCTGCTGCTTTAGCAAGAGATGAGGACAAAACCGTCGGAATACCGTTCGCTTATAGCCTTGCATTAAGAATATCTCCGTATTTCTCCAGGAGTCTCTCTGCGACCTGAGCACGGTTTTGTGAGCACTGAGCCGATTTCAGAGATGAGGGCTGAGGACTGAGGATAGGCACCTGGCAAGAAAGGACAGGCGGATCAATCTGGAAGACGAGAAATTAGGCAACAGAACAAAGAAGGAAAAATATCCTGATCATGACCGAAGTCACGGTCTCGTGCTCAGTTAGTAGGACTGTCAATGGGACGGGTTGAATCCCATATATTCGAATCGATTTTATTGGTTATTGGTTCGGAAGCGGTTTTACTTAAGTTCCGAACTGATTCGGATCCGATCTGACCTATATGTAAAAATGTATAATATATAATGTATAGTATATCGAATAAATTAATATTATATAATATTTTTAATAGGTTTATGGAGTCAGCTTTCATTCTCTCAATATTCGATTTGATTGGTTTTAAGTCTAAAATTATTGACCCTATCAGGTCCAATCCAGTTTCGGATCCTTGGTTTTTCTTTGTGGGTTCGATTCCAGTTCTACCTGGATCCAGCCCAGGCTCAACCTGTTGACAGCCCTTACAGTTAGGTGTATAGGAGAATCAAATCTATTCATAAGTTATTCAGTTTGAGTTGCTAAGGTTAAGTTTAGAAAGAATAGTACAATGCAAATATATACAAAATAATATAAAATATAAGATTTTACATTTATACTCCTTCCAAACTCAGCCTAAATATTCAAACTGGGCTTGGAGTAATTGAGTTTTAACTTTTAAGTCGATAGCCCAACTCGAATCAAGTAGTTGGGGGGTTGAGTCTGATTCAAGTGGCTCATGAGCTTAGTCGAATTTATAATAAAATATTAATTTTATGTACTCATTTTTATAATATAACTAAGGATAAATCGCATAATAATAATACCTTGTACTTTGGGGTTAGAAATCTGCCGATTTAATATCCATCACTAGCAATTTATTAATTATTTGTATTATGTAATAATATATGTGACTTATTTTTTAAAATGTCAAAATTACTTTTTTTAATACTTTTGAGACCATTTTACCTTGATTGTCTTCTTGGCGATAGTAAAAAATTATTTGTCTTCTCCAAGAACAATGGCGGTCTAAACCCTCCTTTTGTTATGGCTTGAATAATTGAAAAAAGGATTACAACGTTGGCAGTCTAATCCCTCTTAATGATATCATCTTCTTTGATGACGTTTTTCTATGTAGCTTCTTTGGTGGGAAGCACTATTTCTCAAGTAGAAAGGTTAGAGCATAAAATAAACAACGGTATCCAATTACAATGAAAAGGGATTTAAACATGGCTATTTTGGCCATTTGAAAATTATACTTTTCTTGCTCATTCATAACTTGAAAGGTATTTGTATCCTTTCACACACCATTTAATGTTATTTAATAATTTTGAACTAAATTGACAGTTTTGTTGAGTTTAGGTATTATAGTGGCACATTTTAAAGTTTGGGTGCTAAAGTGAGACTAATCTTAGAGCTGGCCACGAGCTATTCGAGCTCGATTTACCGAGCTTCGAGCCTAATAGAGCTCGGCTCATGAGGCTTGCGATATATATATATATATATATATATATATATATATATATATATATATATATATCAAATAAAAAATATTTTTATATATATTTTTTATTTTTATAAAACATTTTTTCTCAAATCGAGCTCGAGTTTACGAATTTTTGATTGGAGCCGAGCTCAAGCTCAAGGATCTAGCTTGAACCAACCTCAAGCTCGAGCTCGAGCCTTGTAGTACTTTGGTGAGCCAAGCTCGAGCCTTGTACTATTCAACTCAGCTTGGCTCGAATCCACCCCTAACTAGCCCCAAAGTATATGGTACTAATCTTCAATTTACTCTATAAAATATTGATTTTTGGTATTGATTAATTATAATATGAATAAATAGAGAAAATCTATGATACAGAAAAGATATGATATGGAAAGAGTTTTGACCAATCAAAACCCACCCATGAATTTTGATAAATGACACCTGATTCTCTACCATGTTTATGATTCCAATTTATTGGTCAGTTGTTTTTCCGGTATCATATCTTTTCTATATCATAATCAAACCCAAATAAATAATATAATATATTTATATTTTTAATATGCTTAATATTAATCTATTTATAATCAGTGCGAGTGGAATCGAACTTGGGTGAGTATTAACTTAATTCCAGTTAAAGCCAAAAACATGAAATTCAAAGGAGCTTGAATTGAGTTTCAAGCTCAAGCTCGTGCCTCTTTTGTGGCGTTTGTCGTTAGAGAGTCTCAAGTTAAATCGTTAAAACAAAACAGAACAATTATCAAAGGTGTCATTAATGATCTTCATTCCGTAATTTTACATTTTATTATAGTTGATTTCATGATTTGAGATTTTCCATAACAGATCTATCATATAATTCATATTAGACTTTAATCATTTGAAATATATTTTTTAACTCTTGCATTATATATGAACTAATAAAAAATAATACCAAAAAAAAAACAAAAAAACTAATAAAAAATCAACCAAATAAATACCCATTAAAATAAAACCAATATATGGTCATAAAAATTCAATTTAGGTCTCTTAGTCAAAGATTAAGAGAATTTGAATGATCTTACGAGGTAATAAGAGAATGGGAAAATGGTTAGGTTGGATTAAAGTTGAGGGGTTTTAGGTTGGGTTAGGGTTAGGGTTAGGGTTGACTGGATTGGGTCGGGGTTCAAAACCTCGGGTTAGGCCGGTGACCACCCAAAAACAAAAAGCTGAACTAACCTGGCCCGACTTTCACCCACCCTTATCGAATATCACCTTTTTTACTGGTAAGACCCAGGCTATGTTGGCCCTCATTATCGAATTGATGCAGACAATCCTGTTGAGCTTTAGAGTTTACGATAAGATTGGAATGTGTTGCTCACTCTCGACCTCTGAAATCCGTTGGTCTGGGATTCGCTTTGCTAGCTTGAACACGAAAGCAGAACTCATCCAGTTCGATTGGTTATAAGTTATAAATTGCTCGCCTTCATATCAATTAGCAAATGGTGATCGAGTGTGGGGTGGCAATTCACTAGGGAGTCCGGATCTGTTTGTCACGTCAACCTCACAATACGTTTCAATGGCACATAAGATGTTTCCATTTTCAATACACAGTGGGATTTGGGATGTGCCTGTGAGGTTGGTGTAAGGTGCACATTATGAGGAGTAAATCCCAATTTTTCACAAAGAAGGGCATATATATAAAAACAAAGGTGATTTACCTATTACTCCAAACTACTAGTCCAAACTCAAATTGTGATGAATCGGGATTTGCTCCTCACAGAGTACATCTTACATCAACTTTACATCCCAATCCCACCATGTATTGGAAACATCTCCCTATGAATAACAACACAAAATACGGGAGATGTATGAATAGCAGTTTGTGAGAAGCAGATCCGGACTCAATTGTGTGGGACAATTTCGTTTGCCTCAATAAAGATGTCAATATATGTCAACATTTTCTGAATAAATATTTGCTTAGGCCTTAGGGTACAAATAGGCTCTGTCATTAAGGGATGGCAACTGAATTCATTATAAGAGTAAATTACAATTTACAAAGACCCACTGTATCATGGGGTCAGTGACAAATATCCCCTTGAAACTTTCACTTTGTGACAAATATCTCCCTCTATTAGGAATTCAGATTAGCTAAACACTTTAACTATGTAACAGGTCATGTAATCAATGATAATGTTTTACACCAGTGATAAAATATACGGGGCCTATACTGAGAGGTTGAATAATTATGGGCCCCATGTATTTTGTGATTGAACAAGTAAGGCATTCAGCTAATCATACCCCATACTACCCTTTTCTTATTTATTTGAATGATTTATGAGTCGATTATTATTTTTTAAATTTAACATTGTTTTCTCGGTTGTTCCAATATATCCTTGCAGATTTTTTTTGTTGGATCCAATTTCAAATGAAATGATAGAGGTTTTATTTTGTTAGGTATAAATTTATGGTTTTGTTTGGTTTTTCTTGATTCATTGGAGAAAAGAGTGCATAGTTTTTATATTTTAAGATGAAGAGAGACATTAATGTTAGTGAAATGGATAAAAAAAAAAAAACTATTTTCCTATGCCAATGAAATTATTCTTTTTATTTTAGCTGGTTTCATTTGAAAAAGAAAATGGATGTTTTAATCAAATAGGATTTGATGCATTTCATTAATTGACTTAACAATTAGGGAGTATTTGTTGCGAAATGAAACGTCAAGGCGGTATTTGTCACTGACCCCATAGTAAAGGGGGTCTTTTAATTTACCCTATTTATAATATTTGTGATATATGCATGAAGCATTTCATCGATAACTTGAACCAATCAGAGTGAATGTTAGAAAGTGATAGAGAATAGGGGTGGCAATTGGGCTAACCTGCCAACTCATTAATGACCTAGTTATATAAAATTAAATGGGTTAGGTTCAACCCAAATCCGCTTTAACCCAATCCAACCCGTCCAAACCCATTAATCTTATATTTATGGACTTAAAAAACAAATTCTTTCTCTTTTAACAAATAAGTTGGTTGTATCTTGATGGTTATTGTAGTTATTATTTACATAAGTGGTGAATGTTCAAATCGCATTACATGCATGTTATTTTTACACAAGCGGTGAAGCCATTTGATTATGTTCGGATTCCGGGTTTGACCGAATCACTTAGGTTCAAACCGGTCAGACCAACTTA